ACTGGTTTGATTTCAACAAAGTCCATGCTCAATAATACAGGTATACAATCCAACATTTTTCAGTCAGGTCATCTGGACAGATGGTTTGATTTGTAGAAAACCTTTAGTGGTTCTCCTGGTCCTAAGAATAATCAGTAATCAAAGGTATGCAGATCTGTGGAGATGCATCACTGGTCTGAGTTGTCTTTTTTTTTTTTTTTCTTTGTGCTTAAATTAAAAAAATGGCTCTTGATTTGATTACCGCCCCATGAAATCAGCTGGATAAATGTCTCCTGACCAGTCATCTGTACGGAGAGCTGACTGCCCTGAACGGTCTGCAGTGTTTGTTTGACTGTGTTCAATGGTTTTTGGTTTTCAGGCTCAGAAAACAGCAAGTTTGGCCTGGCAGCTCATGTTCCTGCAGAATGATGGGCAGACCTTCTCCATGTCTGTCCAAGAGGCTGAGAAGTGGGGCTACAGTCTTACTGCCACCACCCACAGAGTGGTCTTTCGATCTTCATACAAACAGCCACATGCTGAGATCACAATGGTGGGTATCCACACACACTTTTTTTTTTCCTCCCTCCACACGATTCTTGTGATTCAGACGTGACCAGATTATAACCCTCTTTCAGGTGGATGGCATCCCTATCAAAGTCCTCCAGGTATCTTTGTTCTTTAAGCAGAAGCTGCTGATGGTAATGGTTGACATGTCCATGGTCTGCTCAATCAGTAAGTTTTCCATAAGCTCTTAAACAAGATGCTGGTTGACTGAAGCTGACTGCGATTCTGATGGACCCTCCTAGATTCTGGATTGTTTAATGGTACCCAGCTGCTATGGAACGTCCCCCAGGTTCTTCCTGCTTTGGTTGGAAAGGGAGCCAGATTTGAAAGTCAAAGCTTCAGGCTGGGACTAGGGGGTGCACTGCTAGATGAAGCCACAGTCTCTTCCAAAGGACTTAAAGTGGTACAGCAGGAAGGAATGGTGAAGATTGGAGTTCCTTTTGGAACAGAAGGAGGCTACAGGAAGGTATGGTTCTAGCAGACTGGTCTGTGTGAGACTAGGTTTGATTCTTTAACTTTTTGTTTGTAACCTCCAGTTTAAACATTGATGGTAGATTTGATGGTCTGTTCTCTTCTGCAGAGTTTGGTGGAGGAAAACATCTATAAGGAGGTTTATACAATCCTCCTGATGTATGAACATGTCTTCTCTTTGATTTATGAGGATGGCAATAGCATCGACACCAAACACAGAATCCTTAAAGTGCTTGAAACACCGCTCATTTGCCATCCACCATTCAGCCTCAACCGTAAGCTTTCAGAGCTGTAAAGCGCTGTAACTCTATTCCAACATTTAGTGTTTTTTTGTTTCCTTCCTGTAGAGACCATAAGTGATCATCAGGAGTTCAGTGTCTATCTGGGAAACATCCCAGCAGATGTCATCCTGGAGAACATCTGGATCAATGGAAAGCAGATGTTGAAGTCAGACCTAGGCATCAGTCCAATTGTTCACCTGAATGGCAGCCAAGCATATAAACTGAAACTGCCTTTTGATAACGTCGCTGTCCACTGGACGGTGAGGCACCACACAGATCTCTCACCGCAACCTTCGGTTTCAGTAGAAATGTCTCCTTTGATGCTTGCTAAGATCCATGGTACTGCTTCCACCATCAAAGCTGCTTTTATGTTTACACTGAATCTTTTGTCTACAACAGAATGTGGGTGGCGGTGTGGTGCAGTACTCCATAAATGTAAACTTCACTTTGACAATCATGCCTCAGAAAGAGTCCTACTTCCACCAAGCATTCATCACAGCGCAAGTCTTTAATGCCTGTGAGTCCAGTTCTTCTGTTTGTTGGACCATTGAATCCTTCAACTAACACCCCCCCCCCCCCCCCCCGCACGTGCGCACATACACACTTTTTCTTTCTTTCTTTGTCCTTCCTGAAGTTCCTCCAGAGATGACAGCTCAGTGTCTGGAAGGAGGGATCTCTTTCAGCGTGGTCAGACAGTCTCAGAGTCTTTGGGAGGTGGGCATTGACAACGAGCCTCTAACGGCAGCACTGGTGGCTCAGAGAGGGTACCATCTTCACAACGACAGCCACAGAACCATTCTGGAAGTTCCTGTTTTCTCTGTAGGATACACTTACGAGGTAAAAAAAAACGCCACTCACAGATCTTCTAAAACTATCAATATGCTGCCTGCCTAAGTTTTTCTACATCTTTAGATCAACTTTATGTTGAAACTAGTTTTCAGAACATGTCACCACAGCAGAACCAGAAGGTTGGACTCGATGCAAATGGTTATCTAAAAGTTCAGTTTAAATATAAAGGTCCAATTTACACACAATCTGAAGTTTTAAAGAATCAGCTACACACTTTAATGTAGACCATAGTTTCACAAGATAAACTAGCAACCAGACATTAAAACTTCAGCCCAGAAGAAGCAACCCACCCACCTCCACCCTGTGAGCAGCCTCAAGCTGAAGTAAAGAGGCCCCTGACATTAATTCAATAAAATGTTCAATACAAAAACTGGATTTTATTTATAACGGAAGACGTTTCGCTCCTCATCTGAGGAGCTTTTTCCAATTCAATGAGCAGTGAGTGAGAGATTCTGGTTAAAAGGCTGAGTGAGATAAGACACGAACATATGTAGATTTGACAAGTCACGCCTTAACAGTAGGGGTTTCTTAAGGTCTTCGTTACTCTAATTCACCGATGAGACCCCTCCGTTCCAATCAAGTGTGAAAACCGGCTGGGAATCAGTCTTAAAGTTGCTTCCTTCACCCCCCTCTCAAACCATCTGTGAAGGAAGCAATTTATGTAAAAAGAGAGAAGTCGTCTCTTACCAGAGGAGGCCTCAGATTTCCACTTTCAAAAACATTTAATGCAACTTTAAGACAGATTCCCAGCCAGTTTTCACACTTGATGGGAACAGAGGGGTCTCATCTGTGAATTAGAGGAACAAAGACCGTAAGAAACCCCTACTGTTAAGGTGTTGACGTGACTTGTCAAATCTACATGCGTCTTATCTCACTCAGCCTTATAACCTGAATATTTCACTGCTCATTGAATTGAAAAAGCCCCTCGATGAGGAGCAAAACATCTTGTTACAAATAAAATCCGGTTGTTTTTTTGCATTCATGTCCTGGATGACTGAGAATCTTCACCAGTACACTGACATTAATGTGTAATTAATTTGGGAGGGGTGTGGGGTGGGGGCACAAAGTGGGCTGGTCATGTATGGCTTTATCATCCTGTGGTTTATAGATGCTTCAACTGAACAAACGGCAACTACACTTGATTTTTTTTTTTTTTTTTCCCCCCTTTCGGCTGCTCCCTTCTTCAGGGGTCGCCACAGCGAACTAACTCGCACAAAGACTTGGTGATTGTTTTTATGCTGGATGTCCTTGATGCAACCACAGACCACTGAGCTACCACAGCCCTCTGTGGAGCAGGGAGCTGCCAATTGGGGTGCCTGGAGGAGCAGATGGTGGGGGTTTAGGGGCCTTGCTCAAGGGCTAAGAGTGGGTCAAATGAGGGTGAAGGCGGTTCACATTTGCTTCACATTTCCCACCCACATTTTGATGTCTGTCTGAAGAGTTGAACCAGCAACCTTACAATCCCAGGCCTACCTTCTCCAACCTCTGCGCCGCCACTCCCAAGGCAATTGCACGTTCTAAACGAGTTAAAAAAAAAATGCACCTGTGAAATAAATATAAATAAATTCAAGCAAGTTTCCAGAACATGACCCCAGAATCGCTTGAAGCTGAACCTTCTGTGGTAAACTAGTTTTGTTCTTTAATGTCATGGAAACTTGTAATTTTCAAACAAGAATGAATCTCTGCATCCAACCTGTTAAAACTTTGGATTTCATAAGAGCTGGTGCATAACCGTGCACGTTTCATGGTGATACCATACCATTTTATTTAGAGTACTTAAAACGGCAACGAGGCCAACAAAAGTGCTGTACAGCAGAAATAACTGAGCGAAGCACAGTAAAATATGCATTGAACCAAAAGGAACAAGATAACAAATGGCTAACGATGTAGAATACAGACGGGTTAAACACAAATTGGTGTCAAACGCCAGGGAATAAGTGGGTTTTTAAGGGGGACTTAAAACTGTGGGAGGGGGCCTGCCTGACATGCAGTGGTAACTCATGCAACAGTCTTGGACCTGCAGAGAAGTTTTAAGGGCACTCTGCATACATTCTGACCACAGTAGAGTAACACTGACCTTGGCTCTTCTAAGTTTGAATAATCCAAATGTAAACTAGTCTAATGTATTTTTCAGGACATCAACCTATCAAACTTCTACGCAACTTTTAAACTTCTTTTAAGGAACTCTAAAACCCGGGAGGTTCAGGCGACCACCTCCAAACGCTGCCTATTCAGAACTGAAGACATGATAGGTGAGCAGACCAAATCTGTGACTTTAATGTAAAATTCCTTCCACTTCCCTGTTCGAAGGCATTACCAGTAATGTTCTCCATCCTTTGTAGTATGTTCTGCAGATGGGACCATGACTGTGGTGGCAACCCCAGGCGCCACCTGGCCTTCTGTGCAGCCAGAACGAACCAGTCTGCTAGACCGTACCTGCAAACCCAAACAGACCAACGGAGCTCGAGTTCTGTTTGAGTTCCAGCTGAACTCGTGTGGCACCAAAGCCACGGTACAGTTGGTTTTTGCTGAAAATGCAAAGCAACATTGCCCAGGAACTCCAGAAAACTGTATACATCAGGGCTATTCAACTGGCAGCCCAAGGACCATTTCCGATTGTAAAACTTGGTTTATTTACATAACTTTAATCACTGGATGTCTGGCCCGAGCTGCTGCTTTCAGAAACTGTGGTCCCCTGAGCGGTTTAGTCAAATAGCCCTGGTATACATGGATTCTAATGGAGAAAATGAAAAGCATTGGTCTGAACAGTCATCCATCCACAACCACTAAAGTTTAAGTAATGAAGTATTTTTAACAGGTCGGGGACTGGTATGTAGTTTATGAGAATGAAATCCTCCATGATCGAGTGCTGATTGCAGATGGACCAAATTTTATCTCCAGAGAACCTCAGTTCAAGTAAAAACACTAGAACCTTCAGTGTAAAGAATCGACTGTTAAAGAAAATATTGTGAAGATATGTCTCACTCTCCACAAGGGTGACGGTGAGATGCTTCTATCCTCTGAGTGCAGTCAACAGCGTATCTATGAACCGGATCTTCACCTCGGCAACTCCTGGATTTGGATCCGTGAGAGTCTTTGAGAGCCACAAAGGTCAGAATTCTTAATGGTGTGAGACACCAGCTTCAGTCAGATGTCTAATGACCTCTCTCCAACAGATTCGGTCAACAAACCCTGCTCACATCGGTATTTTGAGAATGATCCTAAACTTCACCCAAACCCAGCTGCAGGGGGACCCCTACCTCATTTGGGCCTCGGGCCTCGAACCAAACCAGGACGGAGCCATTTTATCACAATACCAGGACAAAAAAAGGAGCTACAGTTCACCACAAAGCAGGATCGGTCCTCGGAACATCAAACCAGCCAAGTTCCTCAGTAAGTGTTCTCAAGACTGTCAAGCTGCAGACCATGGAGACGATGGTCTCAGAATCATGTGACCTACAGTTCCTCTGGCTGGGCCAAATGATTGTCTGGCAAGGGGTTAAGGTAATGCATGAAACGAAACTGGAGATCACATGTTTCTGGTAAAGACCATGGTCTGCAGATGTTTCCTCTTATCCCGATTTGTTGCAAAAACGGGAACAAAAGATGCTGGCGTTTCAACTGTTAACTCTTCTTTCCAGATTTTACCAGATGCCTGATGGTGGGATACAATGGGTGCCTCGCACCACACAAAGCCAGCACGTTGAAGAGGGATGGGAAAGTTTAAGACCAACCTTGGGGTCATTTGACAGGATTCCTGATGGTGATCCTTTAAGAAAACAAAGTCAGAAGCTTCAAAGTCTGAACAGCTTGGCTGAAGGTGCCAGGGGCTCTAGCCTACCATGGGGTCATTTTAGTTCTGGTCAACGTAACATTGTTCAGCAGAGTCCATACCTGCAGAGACTTCCCACTGACCTCTCCTTTACGACAGAACTAAGTCAGCAATCTTTGAATCTTCATGAACCCTCAAGTGGTAAGCTAGAACTGGTCCACGTGGTTAACAGGCCAGTTTCCCAACAGCTACCTCGAGCTAGTAAAGTCCATCCTTTCCTACAACAGGATCACATAAATGAGGTAACCCAAACTAATGATCAAAGAACACTTGTTCCTGCTGATTTTAAAACAAACATGTCCAAAGTCCTGCAAGAGTCTTTACACAACGCACAGGGCACTGCAACCAGCAGAGATCCTCAAAACGTGGAGAGCCTTGGACCTTTCGAAAGGACTGCTCAGTCCAGAGTGCAAAATCTAAGGGTAAAGCCTCCAAGCAAATTTGTGTCATTTGTCCCACATCTTAACCAAAATCCTGTTGTCCACCAAACCTACTTCCAAAACTCAAATCGCTCTCAGTACGCCACTGGTATGTCAGTGGATAGTATTTATAGGAACGAGAGGGCACAAAAACAAACTGAGGTCAGAGGTTCAAATACGAGAGTGAAATCTACGAAACCAGATGTTTTAACATGGACACCAAACCAAGTTGCTGAATTTCAACCAGATTCATCGACAATGAGGCTTACTAAACCATTTCCAAATCGGGTGCAATGGGTGCAGAAACATCTAAGCCAGGAGGAGCCCCAGCCCAAACTGGTCCAATTATTAGATGAGACGGAAAAACAAAAAACAGACTCTGTTTCAGGGGTCTCTCAGACATCTGGTAAGATCTCATCTGTTCATCAGTTATGTTTCAACATCTAGCATCTTCTACCATCAGAAGCATCTTACTAACCTCTTAACACCTTCTACCATCAGGAGCATCTTATATCAGAGTAAGACCAGCTGTACTCCCACTAAGAGTTCAGATGCCAGAACAGCCTACAGTCTTCCAGAGCAGAGAGGGCGGTACCAGAAAAATCCACCAGAGCAGTGTGAGCACAGCTGTTACTGGTGAACAAACTCCAACCATGGGAGGAGCAAAGTTCACGCCTCTTCAAAATTACCCTGAAGGTCCCGAAGACTCAGAACTGATGACCCAAAGCTGGTTGGGCTGTCATGGTGAGCCAGGTCCAGATGGAACCAGTGTTCATGAAGGCATCGTCAGAGGTATTGCACTCGGCGCTTACACCAGATCCTCACAGGTCTTTGTAGAAACCTCAGCAAGTGGATCAGTCAAATTAGCCTCCTAAACATTTGGTTCTTAACAGATGAGGTGGTGCAGGATCAGACTTTCCTTAGGTACCTTCAGGTTCAGTTCTGAGTTTTTAGAATGGTCCTTACCACCATGGCACCTGCCAAAAGCCTCTGGTTCAGTGGATCCACAATGATGGACGTGGACCTGGTTCCAACCTCCACCAAGAACTGTTAAAGGTCCTGTGATGAACCTGAAGATCTCTGCTGAGACTCAGATCCTGGTTTACACACCTGGTCTTTAAAGCCCCACAGAAAACCCAGACCAATTCTTAAACCTGAGCCTCACTGAAGATTGAAGTCACGTCCACAGCTCAAAAACACGAATCTGACATTATACTGACAGTTTGAGTGGGGAAGGGAAACTCATATGAGCTGTGTGCTGTTGGAACTGACACTTTAGGAGCCGGGGGTGTCGGTGTGAGGGTTCAGTATGAGGAAAGAAGCTGTTTTTAGCTAGCACATCTGTATTGTGAGCCGTTAGCTTAGTGTTACATCAATGCGGACAGGAAGGGGTGGGGGGGTGGGTGGGCGCGGTTCGGTAGACAAGGCGCTCGCTCAGTTCTGTTGATGGGGCAGGGTGTCCCACTTGTATAATGGTAGGGGAAACTATATGCTCCAACAGGACCGTACTGCTGCAGATGTATTTCTCTCACTTTTGGCGCCTTGGTATTGTTTTGTGGCAAGTAGAGGTGGTTCTTTTTGTCCTCAGCATTTCATTGCATTGTTGACGTGTTGATCTGTGTAGAATGAAGCTGCACTGCTTTATGACCCCAAACCCTTATTCATTTTCCAGACTCGCCATGAATTGTTTTTAAAGTTACATTTGACTTCAATGTCTGTTTATCACACATTCACTGTCCTTGGACAAGTTCAGCTAAAGTTTGACTGTTTACCTTTTCATTCAACCTTTAGACGGGTTAATCCCATAAAGCCTCAGGGACTCATTCATACGGGATCTGATTTCTTAACAGAGTGACTGCAATGGATAACTATGACAACAATGGACAGTTACGAGGCATAAAATTTTTTATTTTTTTTGCAAATCAAAACAAAATGGCAACCAAAAGGACAGTCAAATGAAAAAGTAGCAACAAAAAAAACCCCAGCTAGATTATAAGGTGGTGCAGAAAACTAAAAACGGGAACATGTCTGTTTTTTTCCCATGGATTTAGCAGATGTTTGAAGCCACTTGGAGGTCAAGGTCGAGAGCTTCAGATCTTTTTACAAGATATTCCAGGAAACGGGAGCGGAGTAGAAGGTCCTTTTTGTCTAGTTCAGTCCTCACTGAGGGAACGCTGCATGAGTGCAGCTACAGCGTGCACTCAGGACATTACTTGCCGAGACGTGTAGGAGCAGTATGAAGGCAGCAGACCAAGAAGTGATTTAAAGATGAAAATGTACCAGTGAGTCTGCGTGAAGTTAATGGTGACCAGTTAACCAGTGAATACTGGGTGCAGTGGTGGGTACTGTAGTTAAAGCCAGTTATGAATCTTAGTGCACCATGATAGACAGCATCCAACATCTGCAGGGTGCTTGTAGAAGCGTTTATGTAAATGTCATTGTAATCAATGGAGGAAAGGAAAGTCTGTTACAATGAGTTTCCTAGCATTCAGAGTTGGACAGGATATGTTTCTGAAATAGAAACTCAGTTTAACTTTCAGTTTCTTTACTAGGTTTTCCACGTGAAGCTTAAGAGATGTGAATTGAAAGATACCGAAATATTTATAGGAATCAACAAACTCAATGCGGATGCCATTTGAGGATAAAGTCAGAGGAAGAACTGCTGGGACCAACTTCCTGTTTGGGGAAAAAAAAAACATCCCTTTGGTTTTATCGGCATTTAAGAGAAGTTTGAGGTGGAACAAATGTGACTGGATGATTTCAAAGGTGGATTGCAAAAGCTGGAAAATCTTACCAACTGTTAGCTTGACAATAAACTGTCATCAGCATAGAAATGTAAAGCCCCCAGTATACTGCCGCGTAAATCCGTTCATGCGTACATGCGCATGTACTGTACGCAGAGGGTTCAGACTTCGTACTCCAGCGTACACCCCGAGCAGCTGCAGAGCAGCTTCACAAACGAGGGGCGTTTACCTTCGGGACAAATTGAGGTTGCCAATTTGTCATTTGCTGACATGCCTACTGGATTGACTGACGGGTAGGAAAAAAGAAAAAAGCGAGCAATGGCAGCTTCAGCCGCAGCGGTGGTCTGTATTTATATGTTAATAAAAATATCTAAAAAAATAATAATAAAAAAAACGGAGCGCTGGCTCTACAGCCCACCAGGAAATCTCCAAACCCTCCTGCAGCCATGCTGGACCTGATTTTAATTGGCTCGTGACAAATTCATTCATTTCTCACCATTTCAGTCATGGCATCACCGGAGGAGGAAGAGATCACTGCCTCTTGGCAAAAAAACAAAAGAAAAGGCCAGATCAGAGACTAAGAGGAATTTAATACATTGGTGTCTCATACAAAACGGTCCATCGCTGGGCAGTTTATTGTGCGACACCGCGTACGCAGTCGTAAAAATTTGAGCTTTGCACGACATGCCCTGGGGGGTACGCTCGTACTTCCGCATACGTACGTACCTCTGCGTATGGACATACGCGGCAGTATACTGGGGGCTTAAGGATGCATCAGGGATGCTCTGACCTACATTACCTATGTAGATTGTAAAGAGTAGGTCCCAAGACTGAGCTTTGTGGTACACCATTGTTGACTGTTAAACTGGAGGAAGTACCATTATGTTGAACACATTGCCTCCGATCTGAGATAGCTAGAGAACCAATCAATGGTGTGATCTAAGAAACAAATTTCTGAGATCTCATGACACAAGATGTTATGATCCACAGTGTCAAAATCTTTAGACAGGTCTAAGAAAAGTGCAGCACAATAATCCTCAGCATCCAGTGCTTCAACAATGTCATTAAGAACCTTCAGTGAAGCAGTGGTTGTGCTGTTTCCTGAAACCAGATTGATTGGAAAGGTAAGATGTTAAATGAGTCCAAATACTTTTTGATTTGAGAGTTTCAGTTTTTCTAGAACCTTGGCTAAAATGCAGAGTTTAGAGATTGGTCGATAGTTGTTCAGTGAGGTGGGATCACCTCCCTTCAGCAAAGCTAGAACAAAGGCTGTTTTCCAAGTGTCTGGGATGGAGTTTTGTCTCATGGACGGTTAAAGATGTGGGACACAGGGACTGTGATATGAGCTGCCAGCCTTTAAAAAAATCTGTAGGACAAGATGAATTTCCACCACATTTCTTGAGTCTAGACCTTTTAACAATTTAATTAACCATTAACTGAGAACGGGGAAAGAAAAGGTGAGATTAACTGAAGATTGACTTGTACGAGAGAATTTGTAGAAGTTAGTTAATGAAAAATCAGTCACTTCCCTTAAAAGTCTGTCATCTAGAAGCAACAAAATGTTTGAAACAGTTCAGGATCTCGTGCTTATTTGACACAGGAACAGTTAAAAAGAAGTTGTGATGGGAGGTCGGATGATTGGGAGCTGCCAGAGATTGGATGGTTTTCCAGAATCTTTTAGGGTCATTTATATTTCTGTAGGTCTAAGATAAGAAATAATTGTTTTGCAGCCTGATTGAAGTTT